GAGGGGTGTTCTCCTTCCCCCCTTTTGCCCTCAGTCGCCTCTGCCGCTGCGGCCGACCTCGTTGGTCTTGAGTCGGTAGGGCTGCCCCTCAAACCTCTCAGTTTCCCCCGACAGAGGCTCCGCTGCAGACGCTTCACATGGACGTGTGGTGCCCAGCCTGCGTCCGTGGACAAGGTCACGAGCGCTACTTGCTGCTGGTTGTCAACGACTACTCGCGTTACACCTCAGTCTTCCCCTTGCCCAGCAAGGGTGATGTCACTGAGGTGTTGATCAACTGTATGCGCGCAGCTCGTCTCCAGCTCAGGAGAAGCTTCGGCTAGGACTTTCCTGTCCTGCGTCTGCACTCTGACCGAGGCGGAGAGTTCTCCTCTGACCTTCTGCGAGCCTACTGCCGTGCGCGAGGCATCCGCCAGACCTTTACACTTCTAGACTCTCCACAACAAAATGAGATTGCTGAGCGCCGCATTGGCATGGTCATGGACGTCGCTCGTACGTCCATGATGCATGCGGCTGGCCCCCATTATTCTGTCGCCGTTTGCGGTTCGGTACGCGGCGCATCAGATCAACCTTCACCCCAGGGTCTGAATGCCGGAGACCTCCGCAGCTCTGTTATGGACGGGGAAGATAGACGATGCGTCTGCGTTCCGTGTCTTGGGATCTCGGGCATTTGTCCGCGACTTAACTGCGGACAAACTGTCCCCCCGTGCTGCTTCTTGTGTCTTCCTTGGCTTCCCCCCTGACGCACCAGGGTGGCAGTTCTACCACCCCTCCTCTCGTCGTGTTCTGTCCTCCCAGGACGTCACGTTTGACGAGTCGGTCCTCTACTACCGTCTCTACCCCTACCGCACTCCTTCCCTCCCCCCGCCGCCGCACTTCCTTGTGCCAGGTCCCCCCCGGTAGACCCCCTCCCCCCTCAGGGTCCTGCCCCTTCAGGTGTGTCCCAGGTAGACGCAGTCGAGCTTGTCGAGGTTGCTGGTGACTCTGGTACTGCTGCGGGTGCTGAGCCTGGGGGTGCTGACTCTGGGGGTGCTGCGCGAGTGGGTGCTGAGCCTGAGGGTACTGAGCCTGGGGGTGCTACGACTGAGGGTGCTGAGCCTGGGGGTCCTTCGCCTAGGGGTGCTGCGTCTAGAGCTGCTGAGCCTGGGGGTGCTGCGTCTGGAGCTGCTGAGCCTAGGGGTGCTGAGCCTGGAGCTGCTGAGCCTGGGGGTGCGGAGCCCGCGGCCGCTGGACCTGCTCGTGTGGCGTCTGGCGCTGCTGGGCTTGGTGGTTCTCCAGGTGCTTCGTCTCGACGGGAGCCACTCTCTCCACAGGAGCGGCGCGAGTGGTTTGCCCGGCGCTGGAGGCGTACTGCTGGAGCTAGTGCTTCTTCGGCTACTGAGGGTGCTGATGCCACCGGTCTCGAAGGTGCTAGCCCTGGGAGTGCTGGAGCTGCTGGGCCTGCGAGTGCGACTGGAGTCAGAGCTGCTGAGGGTGTTGGCGCTGAGACTACTGCTATTAGTCCTAGCGGCGGTCTTGCTACGGGTGCTGCTGGTGCTGCTGGAGGTACTGGAGCTGGAGGTGCTGCTGGCGCTGGTGCTGCCAGTGGGGGTGCTGGTGCTGTCCCTGCTGTGTCTGGAGTCGCCGCGCGGCCTCGGCCGTACTTTGTTCTACTCCTTCAGCAGGTTCTTGGTCTTCCTCCTCCCTTAGAGTGTCCACCGCCTGTCCAGTCACAGTCACAGTTACCGCCAGCCTCCCCACTGCATGCTCCTTCTCTCTACACTGGTCCTACTGGAGGTCTTGCTGAGCCTCGTGAGCCTGCGTCTTCTCCTGCGTCGCGGGTTCGTGCTGCTCGCGCTAGTGGTCGCGGTTCGCGTCAGCGTCCTCCTCCTATCCCTGGCACGCACTAGATGTCTCTGCGTCCGTCCACTGTTCCTCTGCGTGCCCCTTTGCCTTCTCCTCCTGAGTCCTCTCTTCCTGCCCTTGCCGACCCGGAGTCGGACTCTCTTCGTGCTGCCAGTCCTACTGTCACGCGTCTCCTTGCTACTGTTGTCACTGACCCCTCTTTTGAGTCCACTGCTGCGTCTGCTCTTGTTGCTGAGCTCGTCGACTTTGCTGCTCGCCGTTGTCTAGACTACGCTGCTAGTCTCGTTGCTGAGTCTGCGTCTGTCTGTCCTCCGTCCGTCGGGGGTGAGTGTGCTCTTGGCACGCACAGCCTTCAGGACAGGCAGGAAGAGTTCCAGTGTTTGGCTACTGCTTCACCTCATCTCGTGTCCGTACTGCTTACCCCTGAGGGAGACCCGGATGCACTTGACATCTCGACTCCGCGCTCTTACAAGGAGGCCGTAGAGCGTCCCTACTCCTCTCACTGGCAGGCAGCTATGGATGCAGAGATGGCTTCCTGGAAGTCCACAGGCACCTACGTTGACGCGGTTCCCCCACCTGGGGCGAACATCGTCAGTGGCATGTGGATCTTCAGGGTGAAGCGGCCGCCGGGCTCTCCGCCTGTCTTCAAGGCGCGGTACGTGGCTCGTGGCTTCAGTCAACGCCAGGAAGTTGATTACTTTCAGACCTTCTCTCCCACCCCGAAGATGACCACTCTTTGGGTGCTGCTACACATAGCCGCTCAGCGTGACTACGAACTTCACTCCCTTGACTTTAGCACTGCTTTCCTGCAGGGTAGCCTGCACGAGGAGATCTGGCTGCGCCGTCCACCTGGCTTCATTGGGACTTTCCCTCCTGGCACCCAGTGGAGCCTCTGACGCCAATCTACGGTCTCCGCCAGGCACCACGCGAGTGGCACGACACACTGAGGACTACGCTTGCGGCTCTTGGGTTTGCTCCCTCTACTGCAGACCCGTCGCTATTTCGTCTAACTGCTTAGCAAGGTCACCAAGTGACCATGCTAAATGCAGCCCATGGTCACTTGGTGACCATGCTAACTGCAGCCCAAGGTCTCCAAGTGACCTTGCTAACTGCGTAGCAAGGTCACCAAGTGACCTTGCTAAATGCAGCCCATGGTCATTTGGTGACCATGCTAACTGCATAGCAAGGTCACCAAGTGACCATGCTAACTGCAGCCCAAGGTCACCAAGTGACCTTGCTAACTGCATAGCAAGGTCACCAAGTGACCTTGCTAAATGCAGCCCAAGGTCACCAAGTGACCTTGCTAACTGCAGCCCAAAGTCACCAAGTTACCTTGCTAACTGCATAGCAAGGTCACCGAGTGACCTTGCTAACTGCAGCCCATGGTCATTTGGTGACCATGCTAACTGCATACCAAGGTCACCAAGTGACCATGCTAACTGCAGCCCATGGTCACCAAGTGACCTTGCTAAATGCAGCCCATGGTCACTAAGAGACCATGCTAACTGCAGCCCAAGGTCACCAAGTGACCTTGCTAACTGCATAGCAAGGTCACCAAGTGACCTTGCTAAATGCAGCCCATGGTCATTTGGTGACCATGCTAACTGCATAGCAAGGTCACCAAGTGACTATGCTAACTGCAGCCCAAGGTCACCAAGTGACCTTGCTAACTGCATAGCATGGTCACTAAGTGACCTTGCTAAATGCAGCCCAAAGTCACCAAGTGACCTTGCTAACTGCAGCCCAAGGTCACCAAGTGACCTTGCTAACTGCATAGCAAGGTCACCAAGTGACCTTGCTAAATGCAGCCCAAGGTCACCAAGTGACCTTGCTAACTGCATAGCAAGGTCACCAAGTGACCTTCCTAAATGCAGCCCAAGGTCAACAAGTGACCTTGCTAACTGCAGCCCAAGGTCACCAAGTGACCTTGCTAGCTGCATAGCAAGGTCACCAAGTGACCTTGCTAACTGCAGCCCATGGTCACCAAGTGACGTTGCTAAATGCAGCCTATGGTCACCAAGTGACCTTGCTAACTGCAGCCCAAGGTCACCAAGTGACCTTGCTAACTGCTTAGCAAGGTCACCAAGTGACCTTCCTAACTGCTTAGCAAGGTCACCAAGTGACCTTGCTAAATGCAGCCCATGGTCATTTGGTGACCATGCTAACTGCAGCCCAAGGTCACCAAGTGACCTTGCTAACTGCATAGCAAGGTCACCAAGTGACCTTGCTAAATGCAGCCCTTGGTCATTTGGTGACCATGCTAACTGCATAGCAAGGTCACCAAGTGACCTTGCTAACTGCAGCCCAAGGTCACCAATTGACCTTGCTAACTGCATAGCAATGTCACCAAGTGACCTTGCTAAATGCAGCCCAAGGTCACCAAGTGACCTTGCTAACTGCAGCCCAAGGTCACCAAGTGACCTTGCTAACTGCATAGCAAGGTCACCAAGTGACCTTGCTAACTGCAGCCCATGGTCATTTGGTGACCATGCTAACTGCATAGCAAGGTCACCAAGTGACCATGCTAACTGCAGCCCATGGTCTCCAAGTGACGTTGCTAAATGCAGCCCATGGTCACCAAGTGACCTTGCTAACTGCAGCCCAAGGTCACCAAGTGACCTTGCTAGCTGCATAGCAAGGTCACCAAGTGACCTTGCTAACTGCAGCCCAAGGTCACCCAGTGACCTTGCTAACTGCAGCCCAAGGTCACCCAGTGACCTTGCTAACTGCATAGCAAGGTCACCAAGTGACCTTGCTAACTGCATAGCAAGGTCACCAAGTGACCTTGCTAAATGCAGCCCAAGGTCACCAAGTGACCTTGCTAACTGCATAGCAAGGTCACCAAGTGACCTTCCTAAATGCAGCCCAAGGTCACCAAGTGACCTTGCTAACTGCAGCCCAAGGTCACCAAGTGACCTTGCTAGCTGCATAGCAAGGTCACCAAGTGACCTTGCTAACTGCAGCCCATGGTCACCAAGTGACGTTGCTAAATGCAGCCCATGGTCACCAAGTGACCTTGCTAACTGCAGCCCAAGGTCACCAAGTGACCTTGCTAACTGCTTAGCAAGGTCACCAAGAATGAGCAACTCAACTCTGCGTGAATCGCCAACTGAGTGCAAGAGCTCCCTATCGGATGAGGGTTTACAGAGGAAGAACGTTTAGAGGGAATTGTGGGGTGGGAGGTGGAGCTTGAGTTGAGGAAAGGAATGTGAGACGTACATGCTTTGGATGTTGGTGGTGAAGGCACGGGGGATGTAACCAGACAGATAGTTGAATGAGAGGTGTCTGCAACGGGAGGGGGGAAGAAAGAGCAGCGCTAAAGTCCATGAACAGGGGGGCGGGACAGAGCGAGCAACGAAATGGTGAGAGAGCGAGGGTTGGGAGGGGCAAGCGGCGTGGATGCTGGGAACTTACATTGCAGTGAGGGCTGTTAGGGCAGAGAGGGTGGCGGGGATGGTGCCTTGAAGATGGTTTTAACCCAAAGCCCTGAAACAAGATGAAGGCGGAGCTGTAAGTTGCATATGCAGGTAAGTACTGGGGTTGACAAGATATGCATTCACTGGGTTTCAGCTTAACGGATTGGAAACAGCACCTAAGAAGGATGACAGAATGGGATGGGGACATGGCAGCATGACAGTATGGGAACATGGCAGCATGCCAGCATGGAATCATGGCACGATGAACACGGGGAGTCATGGCAGTGGCTCACAGGTATTGCAGGTTCAGGAAAGATGAGAAGCTCTTAGGCACGTATCCCTCCAGGTTGTTTCCAAAGAGAGATCTGCAGTGTGTGCCACCAGGCACGAGACGCACGGCACGAGGATTACACAAGGAGGGACTTGCGCAGAATCACAGCACACCTGATGACCTCTCCTGCCTGCCTGGTGGCCTCTCCTACTGCAGCTGCAGCAATGAGCCTAGCCATTCCCACACTCGTACAACGAAATGCTTGGGCCTCTGCGTCATGTCTGGTGATGTGACTGAAGGTTGCGAATTCTGCACACTGCACTCACAGGCTCGTGAGTGCGGTGAGGTGCGAGATGTCATCAGACAACAGCCCCTGCCACCGCGGCTCATCCCCATTCACGTTGCTGCATGGGCAGGGGGACAAGGGCAGGGGGACAATGGCAAGGGGACAAGAGAACAGGAACAGCAGCAGTCGGGGGGACAAGGGCAGGGAGTCTAGGGATTTGGGACAAGGAGGACAGGGCATGCTTGCGAAACTTCCCACACTTGAACAAGGAGAGACCACGCCCATGGCATGCATGGTTCCAGCCGGTGCGTCGTGTGTGCAGCAGCAAGGGTGGTAGGTGTGTGGCAATGGCAATGGCTCACAGACACTGAAGGTTGTAGAGGTGAGTCACCCAGGCAGGGAATTCCAAGGCCCGCAGGAACGACAAATCACTGCAGGGGAGAATGCAGTGGGATGGCAAGGGGACGGCACAGGGATAAAGTCACGGCAGAGGGCTGGGCTCGTGCTAAATGGGGAGTCAGTGAAAACCTTCTCGTACACGTGAACAAGCATGCTTTATTTGAACTACTCTTGGACCCGTATGCAGCTGACTCAAAGTGCAGTGAGGGCTGTGAGGTATCGGATCTTCCTGGGTATCTCCCCCATGGCATTGGTGAGCGAACTGAGTGTCCTGCGCACATGCACATGCACACACATGGAGAAGAGTCAACACCACCAAGGCACAATAAGAGTCAACACTACCAAGGCACAATGAGAGTCAACACTGCTACCAAGGCTATAAGAGGTGACAAGAAGGTCAGTTCACACACTGACTGATTTGAACTACACGAGTTGACGCATCAAGGCAGCACCGGCTCCCAGCGCACCGGAATCGAGCTTACAGGCTTTGAAGATTCTCCAGATGAGAGAGAACGTGCAGAGCGGACAAGCTTCCCGTGAATTCCACCAAGCCAAGTATATGCCTGGTGGGTGGTTGTGAAAGGGTTGTGGGACGTACGAGAAGCTTTGGGGCGGGTGGACGGTGGGGCACACGACATGGGGCTTGTACACAAGTTGCTGGAGAAATGTGCGTGGCGTGCAGCAATGTGGGCAGCATGGCATATGTGCGAAATGGGAGTGCCAACTGCATGCTGAGTGGCACAGTTATCGGGGCGTGTGAGCTGAGAGGAGGGCGTGGCAGTGTGCAGAGCATACAGCGATTGCAGGTTGGAGAGGGAGGAGAGCCAGGCCAGTCCCTCGTAGGTGCCAGTCAGCTGGCTGCCGTCTGCTCCCATGGCTCTGAGGACATGCCACACATGCAGTCAGCCATGCCGCACATGCAGTCAGCCATTCCACACAAGCAATCACCCATGCCATACATGCAATCAGCAATGCCAAACATGCAGGTCAGTGGTAGAACGAACATTAACTGTGAGAAAGGAGCAAGAATTGGCGATAACCTTTGTTTGGCTGTAGAGGAGAGAAGGAGCGCAGTGCATTGTATTGCCAGCAGCGGAGGCGGGGCACGTACAGGAGAGTGAGCTTGGAGAGACTTGCGAGAGATGGGACAGGGCCCATCAACTTGTCGTTTGTGAGATCTCTATGGACGTGGGGAGGCACGACGCAAGATCGAAGGAAGGAGAGAGGCGGAATGAGGCATGCAGTGCGATTCCTTGGTACAGGTCACATCCAAGCTGCTCCACCAGCCGCTGCAGAGCGTGCAAAGGTAGCAAGCAGGGGGGGTTGGTTGTGGCTTATCAAACAAGTGGGCTGTGAGATGGGGGGATCATGGACGATTAAGCACAGCTGCCATTGGCAAGAACAGGAGGGACTGTGATGGGTGGCAAAAGAGTAATGGCAAAGTGCATGCAATGCAGAGTGGATGGAGGCGGGGAGGGTGGGTGGGGACGGACAGGTACTGCAGAGCAGCGAGGTTGGTGATGGAGGTGGGTATGGCGGCGCTGCCATCCACCGCCACGGCCTTTGAATCCCTGCCACCCACCACACGCACGCAACCACACCATGCTCACATCCCTTCCCACCCCTTCAAACCACCCCTTTACACATCCCCTCCCACCACCCCGCCTCCACCACTTTTCCCAACGCCCCCTCTTCCATGCCCCTACCCCATCCCACTCAGTCGTCTCCTCCCAATTCTTGCCCCCATTTCTCAACACCGCTCACAGTCCAGCCCATCCAGAACAGAAACAGGTGATGCACAGGAATCTGTGCATGTGTTGCAGAGGTTTCTAGACTCCAGGAGAGCCGAGGCGCGTGAATCACGCAATTGGAGTGAAGCGCACGTGATAGAGAAATGCAACCCAGGTGGGTGTATTTGTGGTGTCAGGCCAGAGTGCACATGTCGAAATCTCCCCTATGAAAATCTCCGCACTACTCGACAGGGGCGGTTCCTTGGCATACGATACCATGTGCCACCAATTCACACTTCCGAGCCTCCTGTGCCGCACAGTCACCTGGGGGTTGTAAATTTCGGGTGGTCAGGCCTTTTTTTGGAGATGCCGAACATCCCTGCCACTGCGCGAAACATTCCCTTGGCACATTCATGGCTGCGGGGGAACATTTTCTCCATGTGCACGGGAACGCTCTCTCACTATTGTTTGCGGGCAACTCATCCTCTCCTGGGCCTCAAATATAACCTTTGACTCAGTGGGTAGCGAAGCATTAGAAATGAGGGTGGTCACGTGGGGCAATGGTGGGAGCAATGGGGACAATGGAGGCATTGGCACTCACAATGAGATGACCAGTCCGTTGGGGCTGCATGTCACGCCCGGCCACGCAGAGCAAGCAGTGGTGCCGTTGATGTTGCCCACCCACGCGCCCCACGTCGCCTGCACCTTCACAATCTCGCTCACTACGCATGCAATGAGCGCTCGACAGAATGAGGGGAGGGTTGATGAACGTCGTAACCCTATACGGTATATTGTTACATCCAATCTACTCAATAGCTCTCAGAGCCAAAATGTTGCTGACCCAAACCTGACCTTGACACGAATCTGGCCCTAAGCTAACCCGAAAGTCACCAGAAAGAAAATTTGTAGCTACAGGCTGTAGCTACAATATATGTACATAGTATGAGGGCCAACAGTTTTGGGACGCACAGGCACAGGCGGCTCAGGCACAGTCTGCAGCTCAGGCACTGTTATCTGCGCGCGTTACAACAGTCCAATTCAGCGAGCTCACGTTGCGACGCCTCCAAAGCCACGGGCCTTGCGGACGCGGACGCGGCCGCGGTGGCGGCGGCATCAAGCTTGAGGAGTTGCGAGCGCTGGGCGCGGATGGGCCGAGCAACGGCAGGAGACAGCACGCGCTGGTTAGGCCGATGGGGGGCTTCTCGCTGCGGCAGTGGGTGATTGGCGGAAGAGAAGGAGCAATCTGCGGCGGTGGAAAGCCGCAAGGGCCGCGCAAATGAGAAGCTGCGCTGCTGTATCTGTACGCATTGACCACTGAGGCGCAACGCGGCTGCGCGTGGGAGAGGAACGAGTTTTATGTATGGCAGACATTGGAACTCGTTTAATGTACGGTGGACTAGTAGTACATTCCTCCTCCTAGACATCTGCTAACTGCATCGGTGTGGCAAGAATTCATGGTGTAGCTACTTCACCCAAAATTGCAGGTCAAAAAAGTAACTTCAATGTTTTGTGGAGTTACTTTCCCCAGGCAATTGGCTCACGCCCAGACCCAACAAGTGTCAGCTGTGAAGTTCGGGTCAGCTTCGCGACAGGTCTTTTCCTGGTTTTCAGGTTTGGCGCCGACCAGAGTGAGCGCGTTTCATCGCGCGCCTAAGCTATCCTGACTGACGGTCCGCGAAGTCAATGGCGACGTTACAAGACTGAGAACTCTCGCAAACTTTGCCGGCGGCAAAAACAAGAGCAGAGGGATCTGAATACTCGATTGAAGTTAGGGTTCTGTGAGATAACTGTAAAATACAGCATGTTTAAAGAAGAAACTGAGAATATGGAGAAAATCCATCAAATGGTTTCTGAAGAAACATGTGTTGCTAAACATTGGAGCAAAGCCAAAGCAAACAACCTTCTTCACCGACTTCGACGTCTGCCGCTCCACCTCCTTCAGACATTTTTAAAGACGACCAACACGTCGCTTTTCTTCGCAATCGGCCTCACCCACACATTGCGAGTCTTCCTATCCTTCAGCGGAAGAGACTAGAGGCTACCGTCGTTGTCGGCCACCCGAAATGGCCCGCAGAGGTCGATGTGCACCATATCGAGCGCATTTTTGGCATCCGATCCTTGGTCTGGGAAGGTGTGCCGTGCATGTCTGCCGCGACGTAGGAGGTACACGGAAGATCAGCTGCGGTTGACTTCTTGATGTCCAGACCGGCGGCGACCTCGTGTTTCGCCGAGCTCTTGATCGTGTCGACGCCGACGTGCGCAAGCCGTGCGTGCATCATGTCCGGGGTCAACTTCGTCGCCGACGCGATAGTCCGCAGAGCTACTACCTCCATCAAAGTCATCGTCGACTTTGTCGACCAGGGGCGCAGGTCGGTGCAAACAATTCTGCCGGAGCAGCGTGCTCGACCAAGGACATCGCCAGCAGAAGACACCAGCAGCATCTCTCCGCCGTCGTCCTGCAGCTTCACGCCGTTCTCCTTGAGTTGGCCAGCAGACAGCAGGTTCGCATGCACACCCAGAGCGTAGAGTACGTCAGGGACGAGGACCTGCTTCCCGGCCTCCCCTTGCAGAGCAACAGTGCCGCTGCCTTCGTCGCTCTGAAGTGCCCCGTTGAAGCCGCGGACGTGGCGAACGTCGCCGCTCGGCTGCATGTCGAAAAATACCTCCTTCATCCCCATCAGATGGGGGGAGCAGCCGCTGTCGAGCAGCACAACAATCGGATTGGCCTGCAAAGGAGCAGCGACCGCCTTGAAGTCTTTGCCAACCTCTAGCGCTAGTGAGATCGTCGGCTCCACCACGCTGACCATCGAGCACGAAGCCTCCTCGCCACGAGCATTGCCGCCAGAGGAGTCAGCATCCTTCGTCGAAGTCGTCTTCGACGGCTGCTTCTTCTTGCGTGGCTGGTTGTCCCAATCACAACGGCCATCTTCTCCCTTTCTGCAGTTGGCGTCCCTTTCGTCGCAGACTCGTCTCGGTCAGGGCAGTCGTACGAGAGGTGGTCGAGAGCATCGCAGATGTAGCAACGGCGGCCTTCTCAACGCGAGCTACTGCTGCCGCGATCTCCACCTTTTGCCGACTTCCCGCGGTCGGCGCCCTCCGTCGATTTCGCGTTCGACGACTTCCCACCACCGCCTCCAGCAGACTTCCCATGCTGCCCCTATTGGCTCCCCCATCCGAATGTTGGTCAACTTCTTCTCAAGTCGACTGATGAAGAGGTCGACGGTCGCTTTGTAGGTGCGCATGATGTACTGTCACGCTTGGTAGCCAGCATCCACCCGCTGTCTGCACGACTTCAATGCGACCTGCACCAGAGGTGAGCAACACCTCGAAATAACCATGAAGGTCAATAGATGAGCAGCGTGAAATTCTGTCCAGAGTTTAGAGTCATGTGCGTCCCGCGTCGCAACATTGCCATTGATGAACTTCTTTAATCCAGCGATCTCCAGCTGTGGCTCAATGGATTCAATCTACGTGATCAAGTCTTGTCGACCTTTGAGCGACTTCGGCACAGCGATCTTGTCCAGCAAGAATTTAAATTATTAGTATGCCCGCGCGATGCCTTCGTCTCGACCAGCCGACGCATGAGTCGCCGAAGTTGGCCTGACTCCACTCCGCAGATGAGATAAACGTCGACCATCGATGTTGCCGTTCGAGCTGCCTCCAGTCGCAGACGATCGCAACACTTGCGCTTGCATTCCGCCAACGCTGCCGTCGGCGGGCCAAATCACTCCGCGAACCCTCGTGCTTCCACCGCCGACAACATTTCCGCCATCGCCTTCGTTGTGTACGGTTTGGGGAGAAGCGGACGCGTCATCCGCTTCTGCACGGGGAGGGGGGTGCTCACGCGCCCAGTGAGCACGAGTTCCAAGGAGCAGAATCTCCAAGTTCGCCTCGCCGTACCCGCCAGCCTTGTGGCGTGCCCGAACACCAGCCTCTCTTGCCTGCAGGGTATCTTCTACGCCTGCTTCGACCACGGTGTCGACCATGGCGACTAAGACGGCTGCCGGCCTAACAACAACCTAGGTAATGAACGCACAAGTCGACTATCTGAACGTTCTAACGCGGGGCCGTCCACGCTCACAGCACCATGCGGAGAATACTATTCTACAGGAGAGCTTGAATAACGTGGGACACACAGTTAGAATTCTGGCAGTGATTCTCAGAAGTGAACTTAGTTGCCTTGGTAGAATTCAAGCATAGTTCCACTAGCAAAAGTTCATAGAACAAGAATATGGTACAAGCAAGGAGAACCAAATAGCTAAGACAATGAACCTTGTAGAAACGTTCCTCGACAAGCACCTGAATCTGTCGAGTCAGCAACGGCAGTTGAAACGACAAGCACATGCATATTTCACCTGAGTTGGTAGTTGCTCAGGTTTACAACGTTCATAGTTGTGCACGTTTTTACTATTAGTAAAAACGTGTTACAGGTTCAGTTTCCTTATTGAATCAAATGTCAAATTATAATGTTGTCTAGGCTTTAGTGGGGTAGCCCATATGGGGTACACATTTCTAGGGTTGCATATTTGTATAACTTTCATTCCATAGTCAATTTCATTCTCGTTCTAATTTCCTCATGGTATCGAGCAGGTTCCCCCGTGGGAACTGTGCCTAGGGCCCACCACATCGAGATATTTTTTTTTCCTGCCCGAGTCGCGCTCCGGGCTCTCGCTTCGTCGAAACGCCCTAGCGGCCCCGCAGCCCGTCGATTCGGCCCCGCCGCCCTTCGCTGCGGCCCCGCCGCCCTTCGCTGCGGCTCCGCCGCCCTTTGCTGCGGCCCCGCAGCCCTTCACTGCAGCCCCGCCGCCCTTCACTGCGGCCCCGCCGCCCGTCTCAGCGGCCCCGCCGCCCTTTACTGCGGCCCCGCCGCCTCTCTCGTTGCGGCCCCGCCGCCCTTCTCAGCGGCCACGCCACCCTTCGCTCCGGCTCCGCCGCCCTTCGCTGCGGCCCCGCAGCCCTTCACTGCGGCCCCGCCGCCCTT